TCTAACTTGAGAATCTACATGGAACATCTGGAGAAGTACCCACACTCTCTGCTCGTCAAATTTTTAGGTGAGAACCAGGAAGCTATGAAATTAGCATGACTTTTTCAACAAATGTTACTGGACAATTTTTTTTTTAATCCACTAATTTTAATACATTATGAATTTGAAGGTGTAATTCCTGATGATTTACATGAGAAGCCTTAAAACCCTGAATGCTCATCTTTATTGCATCCATTTAAGAAATTGTCATGCTTTATTCATGGACAGGTGTTCACAGGATCAAAATTGCACATCAGAGGATGGTAATTATTGTATTTAACATCATCAATTTTATGAACCCTTAAGGTACATGTTATAAAACTCTACTGGTTTTCTGTGTGCAGAAGTACTTTATTGTGATGCAAAGTGTCTTTTACCCTGATGACAGAATCACAGCAAGGTAAGACTCGCTGCATGTTATAAATGGAAATGAAGTGTGATCGATTCGTCCATTATCAATCATATAAATATTTAATGTTTCTAATCTCTCCATCACTTATGTGGGAGTACACCACAGAAGATGTCATCTTGACTTAATAAAATCCACAGCCTTGCAATTATTGGTCATTAAATTGCTTTGCCTTTTAGCTGTTACTTTTGGCTTGCACTAATGGTAAGAATAATGATCCAATCCACCTCTCCCACCTCCTTCTCCATTACTCTTCCCCTAGTTTTACATTCACCCTTTTCTCTCAATGTTTAAGGTATGATATAAAGGGCTGTGAGATGAGCCGGTGGACGGACCCAGCCCCTGAAGGCAGCCAGATCATTGTTGTTTTGAAGGATCTTAATTTTGAAGGACAGTTCATTCAGTTAGGTAAGCTCAGTTCCTTGTAGGTGAATGAGGATATTTAGACAACACTACGTTCAATCTTATGGCTCCTTGTTTATATGACAGATCAGCAATGCCCTTGGTTCCTGCGTCAGGTGGAGATTGACACTGCCTTTCTTCAAACGCTCAATGTGTTGGACTACAGTCTCCTGCTGGCTCATCAGCCCCTGCACCAGGATGAACTCAGCCAGAGTCTCTCTTTCGCAACACTCATCATGCGTGCCAAAAAGTGAGCATAGGTTTAGTATGTCATGCATATAGTCATCCACAAACAACCATAGACATTTTCAGAGATGTTTTAATGAAGGTCTGCTTGTGTACATTGTTTAAAGATTTCAAATTCTTCTAGTAAATAAGATCAAAATAACCTGAAATCTCCATAAAAGTACATAATTTATTGATTCTACTTAAGGGAAGTTAGTGTTATTATGTTTCATTAAAGGGGTCCTATTATGCTCTTTTACAAAGTCTTGATTTTGTTTTGGGGGTGTACTAGAACAGGCTCTCATACTAGGTTGTTCGAAAAACACATTATTTTTCAAATATTTTACTTTATTACAACACCTCTCTCCCCAGTCTGGCATGAACGGCTCAAATAGTTCCTGTATCAAATGAAGGCCCGCCTTCTGAAATACGAAATGTGCTGTGATTGGTTAGCTGGGCCAGTGTGTGTTGTGATTGGCAGCAC